TGGTGGTTTTATTATATGAATTCATAACTAGCTTTGGATTTCCTTCCAGAGCCAGAGCATATTAGAATATTAACAAGGAGGTGCCACTCCCTAAAACCAGTGAAAGTGGTTAAGCAGGAGGCTCAGTAGTGATGGGAACTTGGCTGTGGATACCTGTAAAACAAGCAAGTAAAGAGGATTCCTTAGCTGAACTGGAAAATCAGGAGATTTCTGGTTCAGCCAGTAAGGCCAACATCGACCAGCAATATTTAGGGCTTGCCACACAAGGGTGGGTTTTTTTGAGCAGAGATATCCAGAATAATTATTTTGAATTCCTGTGGATTCATATTCTCAGGAAGTCTGACATCCCTGGCGTTATTCTGAAATAGCTATTCCACTTTGTCTTCACGTTGCATCTTATTCTGGAACAATTTCTACAGGCAGTTAGAAATCACAGGGATTCTTGCTGTTGGGCTGACTGTGCTGGGATTGCACTGGGCATATCCCCACTCCATCCTTCTGCTCTCTCAGAAACATTTTTGGGGGAACTAGAAACAAAAGACTTCACACTTTTTTAGAGTTTGTACAAGACTTCCTTTATTATAAATAAAGCTGCATGAGAAGATCTATACAAATTCAACAGTGTCCTGCTATAAAAGCAGCGGTTTGAGTACAGCATTGTCAATCAAGGAAGACCTTAGTTTGGAGAGTTTTGATGTTACTGCCTATCATCTCAGCTGCATTGCCAAGATTGATCTTCACACTACAGTTTTGCTTCTGAGCTAACGTATTACACACACCCCCCAGTCCTAAGAAAAAAAGACAAGTAATAAATAAAGCGATTTACTACATAGGATCCTATGAGAGCTAACCCCTCAATGATCAGCAGCCAAGCTGTTAAAGGTGGGTAAAGTCTCATTTCTTCACCACAGAGAAAACGTTGGAAAGGCTTTGCATGAAAACTGTCTGGTGAACAAGCACCAAATCCTGCTGCTTGAATGCTGGATAAAGTTTTGGATCCCTTTGCTAAAACACATCTTTATACCCCCGTAAGACCTGTATGCAGAACAACTCAGAGAGAGAGAGAGAAGCTGTATTCTATGGCTGCCACATACTAAAAAGTGAATTCCCAACAGCTCCTCTTAAGACATTCTGCTCCTGAACAGCAATAATAACCTTAGACCAAGACATTTTTTAAAGGCAAACGGCTCCTGAGGCTATGTTGTACATCAGTGGCTGCTATCAAGCCACCACTAATTCCATTGCTTTGACAGAGCCTATAATAATATATTAAAACCACAATTTGAGGGTGGAGGGGGTGGCTGGAAACCAGCAGAAGGCAACAGGAGTTCATCTGTTAAATTCACCTCGTGAGCAAATAGCAAGAACAGCACTGAGACACAAGAAAGGGGTCCAGGACAGGCTGCTTACCCTTCCTTAGGGTCTATCAAGGAGATAAAGGCATTACCAAAGAGATGTTGTGTGTTTATTACTCACGTGTCATATGCTGTTTGGTTTTAAAAGAACGTTATTCACTTTAAACTACAAAATCCCACTTCCACCCCCACTCTTTAAAGCTGCTTATGAATGCTAAGCCAGACTTCAGTCAACGCAGAACTAAACTTGAGTGGCACTAAAAAGTCTTGGGACATTTTTCCTGGCTGACAGCTGATGGAGCTGAACTATCTTATAAACGTTTTTATGAAACATGAGTGTGGCCTTTTACTGATAGGACTAGTACTTGGTGGGCAAAGATTTAATACAGGAGAGACAAGGCAGTCCAAGCAATGATGTGCTTCACATCATGGCCTCCTTTTACCACTGCAGAGGTCTGATCCAGCGAAACGCTGTGTACCCACATCTCCTCTGACGGGACACGTATATACCTCTGGTATATATACTGGTATATGGCTTACAAACAAGATCTCTGCCCTGAGGCTTACTGGAACACAACTTATAATCACAGAGGACTTCTCCTCCCGGACAGGTATGAGTGGGTTCTCTCACAGCCTAAATGCACAGAACAGACCTCTTAAAAGGCGCTCGGGGCAAAATAAGCATATTGCATGTAGGAAAATTAAGCCAAGCAATTAGCTTTCAGAGGAATCAAATCCATAAATTCTTTGGTTTAGCTCCAGCTTGGGTTCCACTAAACCCCATGGGAACACTTCAGGGTCAGTTTGGGCTTAAGAGAGAACAGGCACACACATACAGAAAATGAAGAACAAAAGATTTAATCCACTTATCACTTTAGGTTCCTTTGAGTCTGAGCAGCAGTGCTCGGAGCTGTGTAAAGATGAGTTTAGGCATGTTGACAAGCCCACAGGACTGGCGTTACAAAGCTTTGTTCAGACATTTTAACAGGGGAGTTACCTTACTCTGTTCAACAGCCTTTTCTTCCCATCCTCCCCCTGCTCAACCTTATGTAAAAGTTATTTTTCAACCCTGAATGTAATTTCCTGAGAGACCTGGGTCACAAATTTGTTTCTGTTCTTTGGACAGTCTAAATTTAGACTCCTGACAGGAAATGGCAGAGAAATTTTTGTTTGTCTCTGGCTGGGCTGGGAAGGGAACACATTTAGAAGCAATTCTGACCGCAACTGCTTAAGCATGACCTGCCTGCCAGCAGCCCATACAAAGCTTGATCCGCTACAGGCAATGTGCAGTAAACCTGGGCAGGTAAAAATGGCAAATTGCTTGGGTTTGTAAACAACTTACACAGCTTCCAACGTAGCCTCCAGGCTCCAGCATTCACCCACCCTCCCTGTACCTCTGCTTGTCACTACCTGCTTGTCGTGTCCCCTGAGATTGCTCCTGCGCTCCTTCCTACTGGGGAAGGCTTGCTTGGTTGTACTAATGAAAGCCAGGAGCTTACAGCACTCGTCAGCGTTAGCAATTAGTCCTGCCCTGTTGCTCTGCCGGCCTTGGCAGGCTCCCAGGCACTCATCGCCAAAAGTGCTGAAGCAAGCACTGATCATCCAAGACTCTTTCCTACTGGCATTACCCACCAGCCTCTTCTCTCCCATTTTGCTTCCTACCCCTTACTTTCTGCTCAGAAATATTACCTAACCACCCTATAGCCGTGATAATAAAAGCCAAGGGGAGCAGCAATTTGAGCAGAGTTCCCTGTCCCCACCTGTGCTTTCTTATAAACCAGGTGTGGAAATGGGAGTTACAGATTTCTCTGACTTTGTGCATGAAATGTCCCTCATGGGTGGAGGGACAGACGAGCAGCTATCAAGGAGGTGGTGAAATGCTGTATGTTGTCTCTAGTAGTGATACAGGATTAAATCTTCTCTCTGATGCATATGATAGAGAGGGTTGATAAAAAGGGACCTATGGAGTCATGGTAATATTATCCCTGATGGGTCTCACCACCCAGAACAACTACGCTCTTGTAAACAGGGTTCAGAGAAGCCCTAGTGTAAGACACTGCAGGAAATCCTAGTGTAAGAAAATGGTAGGAAAGGCCCCTCAGCACTGGAGGTCAGGCTTCCAGGACCAGCACAAAGCAGATCTGCACTCAGATCCTGCATGAAGCACATGAAGGAGGGTGAGGAGCTACTGAGCCCTCTCCTTTAGCAAAGCCACCTCGCCAGGGCTGGGCAGCCCACTGGCACAGCACTAACATGCTGCTTCCTGAGGGGGTTCAGGCATCTTCATTTCGGCATTGGGTTTTTTTAGCACATGCCTTGAGGTTCTCCCCTGGCTTGAAAGCCTGCAGAAGCTGTCATTTCCCCATCACACTCCCCACTCAGCAAATGACAGTGTGCTAGCAGCAGCTCCTGAGCCTCATCAGAGCAGCAGTCTTTAAAAGGATTGAGCAGACTCTATGTGGAGGCAAACAGGTATCTGTTTTTTGCCTGGGTATCTGGGAACAGAAGGGATCCAACACAGACCACAAGGCAGCTGCAAAGACAGCGCTGCCAAGCTCTGCTACATGTGCACCACTTTCATCCCCTCCTAACTCAGAGCCATCCTGCTAGCCTTGGCCTCATTAAAACCATGCTGAGAGAGTCACACTCTCATTTGGAGGGTAATTGTTCCCTCCTGCTACCAGATTGCTGAGCTTGGTTTCATTACAGGATAATTTTGGAGAACTGCTTCTTTTATGAAAGCAAAACCTGTAGCAGTCCTTTCTCTCTTGGCTGTTCTCAGCCTTGCTGCCCCGAGGTAAGGAAAACAAACAAACCAACCCAAATGCCAGAACTCAATAATGGTGTTTCTCTCTTTTATCTAAGTTAACAAAGGTTCCTGTCCATTTATCCATGGAAAATGGCAAGGAATATAACCCATTAGCCATGTTACCATGAAGAAAATGGAAGATTCAAATGAAATGGTCTGAAGACACAGACCTTGCTGCCTGCTCTGCTACATCCTCCCCGGGGAGAAAAAATGTGCAGGGTGCAGGGGTGTTTTTGAAAGCCAGGACAAGTGATTTAAACTACTGCTGCAAGTCCTATCAAGGCGGCTTTTTTTTTATAACTACAGTTCCCTTTTGACTAAAGAGCTGTGGTTGATGTAAGGATCTCCATCCAGTCTGGATCTTGCGTGTGACCCTCCTCCCTACATCAGCACTGAGTCTTATGTCTTATCCTATCAGAGCTCCTGCAGTCCCAAGATCCTGCCTCTGATTCCTCCGCCCTTTTCTTATCTCCCCCTTCCAAAGGAAATTAAGTATTTGGCCACCACTACCGTTTGCATTGCAGGCATCTGAATAAATCAGTCATATTTGCTGCTCACCACCACTGTGGTGTGACTAAGGCACAATAGAAAAATATATTCTTAGCTGCATAAAACCCAGCCAGAACAGCAGTGGACCAGCAACTTACTTTTACACCATGTCTTCCAGTTTCTCCCTATCCTCCCCCTATCCCGTCTCCCTTACTGCAGAAACCATGGCCCAGGACTGGTTCTGCTGCAGAACAAGAAGCTGTACTGGCAAAGTCAGTTGCCTCCAGGAGGCTTTGGAAAGCTGCCCTCTGGACTTGTGCTTCGAGGAACAAGCGTTTTCCTGCTGGTTAAAGGGATTGCTTATGGATCCCATTGGTGTGTGCAAGGGGAATGTGCACCGTGTACTCATTTATCAGTGCAGACGTGTTCCTGAGCATCTCGTGGAATGTGTCCACCGTCTTCCTGTAAACATCCCTGTGTAGCACAAAAGGACGGAAAAGGTTGAGAGGCTCAGCCCTCTGGAATATGATGGGGAAGCCCAGCTCTGCTGGTACCTTCCTATTGCCGATGAAGAAGTGGTAGAGCTTCTTCTCATGCAAACATTTCTCCAGGAATTTCAGCATGTCCTGTAGACGGGCCTCCAACTTCTCTGGGGCCCAGTCCTGACTGGGACGTGCCTGCAGAAAATGCAGCATTACTGTCTTCAGGTGGTAGTTGGTAAGCCCGCTTGGACCTGTGAGGCTGCACTGCTTCCCGTGGAGGAAGGAGAGGATCTGAAGGCAGCTGACATGGCAGGCATTAGCAGGCAGCGTTTTGGAGATGAGCTGGATGAACCTCCTCTCATACACTGCGAAAGTGAGAAACCAGTGAGTGCTGGAGGGGAGGTCTGCTGCCAGGCCACTCCGAGGGAAATGAGAGATGAAGTAAACATCAGAGTTCTCGTACTGCACCACAGGGGTGAGGTTGAAGGCAATCGATTTCCCTGATCTAAATTTTATCTTCAGGGCTCCTGGTGAGTCCAGGAGGCTGAAGGAAAGGTCAAATTCATACTTGTGGGAGATTCTGTTCCAGGCCTTGGTGACCGCAATCTGAAACCACTTCATGACTTGGTTGGCATCCAGATATTGAGTATTTTTGAAGCACAGGAGGTCTTCCATCTCACTGCTGGGCCTGGTAGTATTGACTTGGCTATGGAGGAGGCACAGCATATCTTCCCCTAGTTTAGTCTTGTCACAGATGCAACCTGTGACATCCTCACCTGCCCTACATACCTTGACAGTGCCATAACCTTGTTCATCTGGGGGAAAAGGGTCACCAGAGCACCAGACCTGGGACCGAAAACAGTATGGCTCAGGAGGGGCAAAAGGCACTATCAGATCACAGACAAAAGGTTTACGCACTCTCCAGTTCTCATACATGCTCCCCACACCCATGCAGTCTTCCACTTCCATGTCAGCATCCCGGTTACAAACACTCCTCAAGGCCTCCAGCAGGTCATCTGCAAAGCCTTCCACCAGCTCCCGCATCCTGGCCATGTCTCCGGTGGTACCCAGGATGCGCTTTTCATAGAAGCTAGCCAAGACAGCCTTGTCAGGGAAGGCCACTCCTTTAAACGCTTTCCCCAGGACAGCCATGTCATCCTCTTCTCCTCCTGTGTCCTGCCAATTCCCTTCCTGGAAATCCTGTTTTCAGGAAGATGACCATGGAAAGGGCAGTCCACATATCCCATCGGACCCTTTCCTCTTTACTTTCCTCCACTACCTCTGCAGCCTTTTCCAGAGCCTTCTGTGTGGCTTCCTGATCTGCGATTTCCTGCTCCAAGCGCAACTGCTCCAGCCGAAGGCTCTCCTCCCGCTCCTTCATCTTCTGGATTATTTCTTCCATGTTCTCGGGGACAGTGCCATTCTCTTTAGGGAAGAGGAGCGGATGGTTGATGATAGCTGTAATCACCACTAGGCACACTCGAAAGACTCCCACAGGCATGGCAGTTCCTTCCCTGGAAGAGAAAGAAAGGTAGAATGACCTCCGATTAGGAGTATATTCCCTTAAGAAGAAAAATGAAAGAAACTCCCCACTTGAATAAAAGCTTTGGCATCCTTTCTAGCCCTGAAAAAACTGCTTCAGTCTAGAAGCTCCTAAGTGCATGCCTGTTTCTGCAAGTTATCAACCAAACTTCCCAAAGAGACTTTATCAGCAGATGGCAAGGATCAAAGTGTCCTCTTATCAAATTAACCTCAAAGAACAGAACCGTGAAGGCACTTGCTACTGTCAACCCACTGTGATGCTGTTGGGGCAGTGTGGGAGGGCATGTCCTTCCTCCCTCCTTTAAAGTTCTCAGGACAGAAAGGGAAAGAAGCAGACAGGACCTCCCTAGGTGTAAAAAAGCAGGACTGGAGATGAGCACTGCTTTCCCTCAACATAAGGCTAACATTGCAGACATGGCAATGGCATAAGCAGGGCTGTTGTGGCCAACTTCCGTGTTAAGCATGTCTCGAGACCCACACAGCCTCCTTGGATCAGAGCAATCTTCACTGCCAGCGCTGGTTATGTGCACCTGGGTGGGAACAAGCCTGCAGGGTTTTGTGCTTCCAAGCAGGCACTACAGGCAAAGCTCCTCCTGCCTTTCAGCACCATCAGGATCAGGCTGTGGCAAACCCTCCCAGCCCCCAGGATGCCTCATGACCACAGTCCCCAGAAAAAGGGCAGAGGCAGAAAGACTGCTAAACTGGAAAGTGTTTCCTTTAGCCCAGTGGTTTTAAAAGCATCTGGTTGTTTATTTTTGGTGCTTAATTCACTGTTAATCTGTGGAAGACATTAGTAAACACCATGGCTTTGATCTAAGTCATCTCCTCCAAACAGCCATCCTTGCAGCCAGCTCACTCCCATTTGAAGTGACCTCAGCACGGCTGTGAGACACATCCCAGGCCTCGGTGAGTGCCGCAGGCAGCCGCGTGCCAGCAACAGTCCCACATCTCACCCCTTGCGCAGGCCCTTGCCATGACTGAGATTGCTATGGTGTTCTTGAGTTGCTTTGGGTGGTTACTGGCTATGCTGCTTGGACCTCACACTTAATAAAGCTTTCCATGCCAAGGGGCTCATGATGAAAGAATTTAACCCCAGCTTTCCAGGACACAGTCTCATTGCTGTGGCATCTGCCTGGCCCCAACAAGGCCTCCCAGAGGCCTGGGACAGAGGGTGCTCACGCTAAAGCCTGGGCTGTTTCCTTCCAGGTGGCATTTCTATTTCTGGAGGGCTGGCATCACTATCACGATCCCAAGCGCCTGCTCAGGGCAAGACAATCTGAGGTTGTTACCCACTGCTGAGCCGTGGCAAGCTCACCAGTCCCTCTTTCTAGCAATGTCACCCCTCAGTCCTAGCACAGGGAGATGAGAAGGACAAGGTGGACAAGCAGAGGTATTTCTTCTTCCAGCTGGGGCATTTTAACACAGTCCCTTTAATGCCTCAAAAGAGTGTTTGAGAGAGAAGGGTTTCTGTTACAGAAATGAAGTGTACCCATAAAATACCTAATTAATCAGACCAGAAATAGTAATTTCATTCCTAACAAACCAATTCATCCTGCAGTGGGAATGAGGCTGTTTCACAGAGAGCCAAGAGATGGTGAGGCACCATGTGTGCATCAGGGGCTGAGGGCTTTAATTCACTCCCCCTGCAATAGCTCCTTCCTGGCCTGAACGTGGTGTGTGTTGGTACCACAGCGATCCTGCTGTCCCAGTGTCTGGGCAAGGAGGAGAACATTCTGGCAATCTCATCCATACCTCCACAGGGTATGCAATAAAGATAGATCCATCCCAGTGGGCCTTGTTATCATTACTGCACAACAAACTGCTGGCTTTCGACTGCAGGAACCTAGATTTCCTTGATGTGAGCACTTACCGTACATGGGAACTGTATCCTTCGGCATGCAATTATCTTTGCTTACAAGAGGGCTGGGACTGGAATAACAAGGGAAGGGAACAGTATTGAGATGCATTGTCCAAGCAGCAAGAAAATTCACATGGCGCTCAGCATAACGCTATGTGCCCCTCCCTGTGTAGCATTTACTAACTACCCTTTTTTTAGATCCCATGTACACACATAGATGAATGCCTTTATGCAGACATTGCTCTGGAGATGCTCTGCAGGCCCTTCTCATCCTTTTTACATTTACATTAACTCTTTAATTCATCAGGCAATGAATTAAAGATGAATTAATGTTTAAAGCTGGGTGTTCCAGTTATTCTGTGAGCTCCATGCCTCGCCACATTTTAAAAATAAAAATAAACTGGAGTTGCCCTGCATTGCAAAGGGCTTTATCAGTTTGCCAGGGCAGGGCAGGAAGCACTGGTGAGTTCCTTTCCTCAGTGCTATGCTCTTGCAGACCCTGTGTGCTTTTCAAGCTTAAAAATAACATGGCCAGGGGCCAGGTGCCTCCTCTTGCAGTCTTGACCAGGATGACATTGCTGCTCTGCCCTGCTAGATGTCTGTCCCTGCAGATGAAATGTTTTACTGTTACCAGATTACTTCTTAGATGCATAAGGCTTAGGAAGATGCGTAAGGTTAGGAAGCCCACACACAACCTCTTCCCCCCGGAAACTCTACAGGCATCAACCTTTGGAAGACAGTCAGGATGAGAACTGAAGTCACAACATCTTCAGGTCGCATGAATTTGCAAGAGGCATGTCTGTTTTCAGCCTGAACGGAGGAAGTTCTCCTGGTCAAAACTGCCCTTTTGCTACTGTAGCTATTCACACCAGAAAATGAAGGCAAACATTAACCTCAGTTAAGGCTTAAGGTTAATGATGCTCAGTGACCAAGGTCAGTGGAGCCTGGCCTTGACAGCAGCAAGGGTGGTGTGGGCAGAGTGTTCCCACATCTCATCAGACACAGCTTTCCTACTAAATAATACAGGTGAAACCAGTAACACTGCCTGCTAAGGTGGTCCAGCCTTCTCCATAACAAAGGCCACTCTTTTCCCTTGCTTTTAACTTCAGCCCAAGCAACTCAAGTCTGATAAAAATATTTATGCCTGCTCTGGCTCAGACAGCTTTTGTGTGGGGAAGAGAGAGAGTGCAAATGTTTCCAAGCTGGAGACTAAGAAAGAGAAACATCACTGTTTCATCTATGCATCAAATTTAGCAACATTTCAAGTAGTGAAGGGTGGAGAAAAGTATTTATGCGTTTTTAAACAGCAAGTTCCCAAAGCAATCTTCAACCTTTTCCAAATTTCTGGCCCTGCCAGTTTTTTCTCATTCGAAGTATAGACAACGTCCAGACTTGGTAACAGGCTTACATCTAACTACCTTCTGCAGACCCTCTTGCAGCAGTCCCAGGGCTCCAAAGACCCCCCTGAGGTAGGCTGCCGTGGTCTTTGCCGCATTACAGGCAGGCCACCTCCACCAGCAGCTGAGCCTGCCCTCGCCCTGCTCCCTGGACCAGGGCATTCCCCAGGTGAGAGAACAGAGATCCCACCTCTTGTGCTCCTGTGGGCACAAAGCAGGGAAAGCAGCAGCAAGACCAAGGAAAGCTGCTCGGGGAAGGGAGAAGGGCTGGGGGCAAGCGAGTCCATGGATCCTCACCGTCTTGATGTAAAGCTCTCTCTCTGCTCGCTGCCCAGTACGTGATGCTGCGTGTTCAAACCTGCCTCTTGCACCAGAATTAGTTTCCTTCTGGGCTTTTCTGTGGCACTCACTGCTTCAGTGACTGGGTGCTTCACTGATTTTTAAGGTTAATGACCGCTCTGAACAACCCTGGGAAGTGAGGGGGCAGGTGCTGTCCCACTCTCCAGCTGGGGAGCGAGGGCTCAGAGAGATAAAAGCAGCTGATAGCTCTGCTGCCCAATTAGAAACAATGATCAGCTGCATCCTGCCACACTTGGTATGCTCAAAGGCTTCACCAAAACCACCTGCAGACCTCCACCCTCAGCTCCCAGGCAACTTAGGTCTCATCCTTTCAAGCCTGAACCAGCCTCTCCAGCTGGAGGATCCTGATCAGCCCCACAGCAGCTCCAAGAGGGGAAGGGGAAAGATGACACTGCTATCGTCCAGTTCAGGTTGGTGCCATGAAGCCACAGGCAGAAGGAGGCCAGCTCTCACGCTAGCTAATCTGAAAGCCCTTTGCTGCACAATTCAGTAATGTTTGGTTCACCTGCTCACCTGGAGCATGGTTACACGTAGCATGTTGCAAGGAAAGGGAAGCAGCACATGAAGCTCATAGGAGCGTAAAGCCTTCGCACAGCCAGGCAGTGGCTTGCCTAAGGTCAAATGAAGGATGGAAGCATCCGCTGCATGGGGACTTTAAGACCTGGCCGAAATCCCTTTGCATACATGTCATAAAAACCAAGGGGTGAGTATGCCCAGAGAGGCTTGCCCAAAAACTGCCACTGGAAAAGACTCTTCTCCTTTGCCACATTTGGACAGCGCCAGCCACACCAAAGGCTGGAGGAGAAATGGGCTGGAGCTCTGAAAATGGTCCCTCAGGTGCAACTTGACTCACCAGCCATTCTCAGCCCTTTGGCATTGGAGCAAAGGCAGAGTTACAGCTCCTCATCAGCACAAATGCAGCCCCCCAAGCCAAAAAACTGGTGCTGAGCTCTGCAAACCAGCACTCACTGTGCCTGTATCTCTGCAGTAACTGTCTCTGCATCACCTGTGCGACCCTGGTCCCTGTACAAGTGGCCTTGAAGGAAAATCATCTGCAGAGATTACTGCAAGACAACACAAAAATAGCCATCGCACTGTTTCCAGACTGTAGTCAGCCCTGAAGATGAATAGTGCTTGCAGAGTTGTCCTGGTTTGGCAAAAACAGGACTATT